TAAAAAAAAAAAAGAAAATGGAGTATTTCCTAGTAAAATACAGAACTAAGCCCCAAACCCTAAAAAAAAAAAATTCCCAAAACAATTCCTGGCCCTATTTGAATTAATGTGTTGGAGTTGCAGCATCAGCGTCAGAGGGGTCCGCACCCGAAGAACAGCCCGTCACTGTAGCTGAAGCTTTTACTGACACGCCTCGTAGCTCGAAGTTTTGCAGTGGTCCCCTGGGCGCACCTGTGGTTGGAAAGGGGTTCGTCAGCAATCTGGTCCTGATGTGATACCGTGTTGGCCAGCCCATGCCAGCCCACAGGTCCACGGCCGAAAGGGTCAGAAAAGTGCGGGCTTTCAGTCGATGAACAGCACAACGGCGATGAAACTGCATCCTTGTTGTGGGCCAAGTTTTGGCCGGCTACAGCGTGTTGACACGCACTCTCCAAACCTGTGGTTCTTGGATTTTGCGTCTCACAGTGCAGTCCGGCCCATGTGACAGCTTGCAGCTTGTTTTCGGCAGTCTCGTGGTTAAAGCCGTCGTGCCACCATGACGCTGCCGGGTTGGATCGGCCGCAGATTTGTCAGACCTTCTTTGGGTAGTCGGGTAGTCCCTGAATTTCGTAATTTAGTTTGCAAGTTCAGGCTTAGCAGAAGACGGTTGAAGGCCAGAGTAATAAAGGAAATCTCAGCACAGGACAGCCCGATAATCGCGGCCTTGCTGATTGTGTTCATACTGGTGGGCTCGCTCACGGTTATGAACATGCTCTTAGGCTGGTGGATGTGACAATGCTGCCACAGCGCTTGTCGTCATGTTCTGACCAAGGTAACTTCAGCCCTGTCTCAGGCGTTCTCGTCGAAGCCATCAAGACAGTCTCCACCATTGAGCGCGAGCAGCTGGAAGTCGATTTTGCCAAGCGTGTGTTGTGGGAGATGATTTCGAAAGGCACCTGCCCGGGTGCATTTTCGATGGTCGCGTTTCAAGATTCATGCACGGCCTTTCGGTGCTTCGGCTCTCTCTTCCTTCCGCTACCTTGCGCCCCCACACGTTGGTTCAGCGAAGACCCTGCTGCTAAGGCTTTAAGTTAACTGGCTGTGGAGTGACACGCTTTCACAAGAAAGCTCGTGATGTCAGGAGAGGCAGACTCAGACGGAGACAACAAAATCTCCGAGGAGGAGTATATGCCTCTTGTCTTGAAGTCAAAAAGCTTTCTGAATCCTTCCTAGCTGTGTCGATGTCCGACGCGAGCCTTCAAACGCTGCATGTTCCTGTACTTGTACCAGCAGCGGGCCAGGACGGCAGGTCTCTCGTAGCAGGTCAGAGAGACCTAGGACCTCGGTGCGTGCTCTAAGATGACCGGCATAACAAGCATCTACAGTACTACAGTACCAGTCCCGGGGCTATCTCGTATGTAGTGCATTGCTGGCCCGTGCCCTCAGGAATGTTTTGCGGAAGCCAGAGGCAACTGCATGTTTCTGTCAAGTGCACCAACTGCGGCTTTTCAGCACGATTGCTGTGGAAGATTTATTTTGAAGGCTTTACAGTACATTATCCATGAGATCTATGAGGTCACCCCTATGCGAAGTTAATTAATTAGACGTGCTCCTGCATCTCCTGCTGTCTTGAAACATGAATGGAAAAGTGATGCCGCCACGAACATTTGCCGCCTGATCTCTCAGTCGGTCAGGCGGTCACTGCGCTGACCAGCCTGGGAGTTGATGTCGAGGCAGCGTTGGATTACGGCAGCTTGGGCAAAAACCTTGTGAAGTGAAGGAGCAAGTCACAGATTTATAAAGCTCTTCCCGGGAAGTCACCTCGCTGAGGAGTTTGCATAGCCAAGAATGACTTGAAAAAGCTATTGCCATGTTGCAGGTTGATCACTGTTATCAGACTCGCTGGGTTCATGCGTTCATACTTTCGCAGAAACTGGACAGTTACTGCCTCCCAGGCAAGCTGCTGTTCGAAGACGGTGAGCCTCTGACCTTCGGAGACTTCATGCGTGGTATATTAACCCTTCGAGGCTCCAACCAGACGACGGTCAAGGCCATTCGACTGCCATGCACTAGGATGCAATGCCCCTGTAGACCACACCAGCGTGCAGAATTCACCGGAGCACAGCCGCGTAGCTTGTCTCTCCGACGGGTAGTGGAGTTGTCGCCACCTTGGCAAGACAGAACTGCCTGTCGCGTACTGCCGGCAAGCCTCTGCACGAGCCAGCCCATAGCCCATAGTCGCAGTTGCCGGAAGAAGCTCCCAAGCGCAAGCGCGAGTCATACCTGCAGGACATCGTAGATCTTCGCAAGTTCACGGGCGACGAGTTCTCGCAAGTCCCTCGCACTGAAGCAGCAGGCATCAGAACTTAACAATTGGAGAAGAAGGTTCTGTTTTGATCTGGCCTTACCACTCTTCTGCCTGACGCTTGGCACAGTAAGGTTCACGAAGTCTTGAACGGCCTGGCGCAGTTTGTGGTGTCGCAAGCAGCTGGACACCCTCGGGCTGGCTCTGGTTTGTTTGGGTTTTGCGCGTTGAATCAAACGAATCCCGACAAGAAAGTGTTCGTGTTGCCTGGAGGACATCAGCCTCCCCCTCTTCAGCCTTCGCTGTCGGTTTCCAGGAGGCCAGCGCTCGGTGCGAAGATGATTTAATTGAGTTCAGAGAAGCCCAAGCTGCGGTTGTTTTCTTCAGAAAACTGCCATCTCCTCGCCCAAGTCGCGCAGATGTTCCTGCAGGCATTCTTTGACTTCGCGCTCTTCAAATGAGAGAGAATCAATCAGGTGATGCCGGGATCCACACAGATACATAGAACTCCAAAAGGAGACGGCTAAAGTTTCTAAAGTTGGCATGGCCACTGTTCGCTCGCCATGCGCACTGAAGTCGGAAGGCACTCGTCATGGCAATGCAGTCCAGCATGTTACAACGCACGGCCGAAGCAAATGCCTGGCCGTGTCAAGCACATGCATGAGTCGGGCCATGTGGCTTGCTCTCGTAGGATAAAAGATAACTCGACTAGAGTGGTCGGCTGCGCCCGCTGCCGAGATGACCCAAAAGATGCTGGGCATGTTGGCAGCAAGTAAGCGCCGCAGTTTCACCAGATTCACATCCGAATGGATGCTGATGTTATGTTATGTTTTTTTTTTTTTTTTTNNGGGGGGGGGGGGGTGGCGCTTTAATCTTATATTCTGCACTCGCGGCACCCACGGTTGAGAGCACCTTGGCTTCTCCGTAACATCTTTTGCCCTTTACTTCCATGTGATTAAGGTCCGCTGTACTAGGCTGTACTCCTACCAGTAGTACAGCGGCTCAGCAATAGAGCAAACGACCCCAGATCCGGAGTGCCGTGCGATGCAGATGCCTTGTATTTCGCTTGCCTGCTTGGAACTCGTGTCCACCCCTTTCTGCCGACACAAGCGAGAGCCTTGTGACGCCAAAATCCGCCAGGAGCTAGTGTAATCTAGATGATGGCGGTTGCGAGTCTTGAACTTGCATCCGCAGCTTTGCATAGAGGAGTTCATTTGGAGGGTTGCTGAACACATGGCTTAGAGCGACTGAAAAATAAACCCAGAAATTCGGAGCCTAGCTGGGATCACCACGTCTCAACGATAGCCTAGTAACAAGCCCTCGGCCAGCATCG